ATTAAGGTCACATGAGTACCCCTCAATGGCTAATAAACATTGCGCATACTTCCCTCTAATCTTGAATTCTATGCTCAGTTTTGTACATTAAGTTGTACGTCGCTTTACCACTTTTATAGTCATGATACTCATGCACTTTAACATTGTATTTGCATCTGATACGGGAGAGAGACTTAGTAAAATTGAATCAAAATTCAGCATTATCTAGAGATCTAAGCTATGTGCATTACAATTATTCATGATTAAATATAAAATCAATGCACTTGAACCTATTTCTTCCACTTGTCCCAAAAGATATTCATGCCCTAAATACTATCAAAACAAATACCTTCTTTAAAAGATTTATCCCAAAGTGAAGGTCTATGGTTGAGATGAATTTGGTGGAGGAAACCTCTACTTCGGTGCCTTATAAAATATAGAGAAAAAGTAGAGTGTGTTGGTTCTTAGGGAGAATCATTAGTATTGGAGGATTTACCTTGCGAGGGGGAATATTTTGGGACCTACACTTGAACAAAGATCACTTGTTAGGCTCAATTTGAGTGCTTCTAGTGAGGGAAAATCGATGGGAGACCCATCTGTCGAACCTAGTTCTTCTATTGGGAACCATAAAACTGGGATTTCGATTGATGTCAAAAAGTATCATAATTGGTGCTGCATCTGATAGTACACGTCCAGGGAAAAAATTGAGCGAACATGTTCCTTTACAAATGATATTCAAGAAAATTTGTTCCTTAAACTGACTCTATTACAGTTAAAGATGAGTGAGCTATTGTTTCTGCAGATGGTACATTATTGATTGAACAAGTTCCTTAAAAGTGATTAAAAAAAAAGATGATTGAGCATGCATAGACCAAGGCTACCTTTGAAATTGAGAAGGCTACTAACTTTGTTAATCCAAAAAATATCTTTGCTTCTGAAAAATGACTTTATTTATCCACTCATCTTTTGATATTACCCAGCCACTCTAGCCGTTGACTTCCAATATTTTTTTCATCGTAAGTGTTTGATTCTATGTTTAATTTTTATTACATTTGTGGTGTATATGCTTTTTGACTAATGCTAATATTGGGTTTAAGTTTCAGGTTCATGTATATCTCATACATTTGTGTTAATGTTTTTCTATAGCTAATTGAGTTCTTAATTTTTAAGTGTTTGTGTAAGTGATAGCCTCAATGGCCATGAGTATCGAATTTGCTTTTCTTAGCATGGTGTATGCCTTCACAGTGTTCTAATTTTGCCTAATGTCAAAAGGGGGAAGCAGCTGCATATGAGTTATGTGTACATATTCAATGCAAGCAGATAAAATTTGTCATAGTCAAAAAGGGGGAATTTCTTAAAATCTCATTATTTTAAAGTATGATAAAGTTATATAGCAGTAACATGGCAACAGAGGAAAGATGTGTATCTTATTTGTTGTGTTCGTAATATATGTTTGTCATTATCAAAAAGGGAGAATTTGTTAGAAGTCTTGTTGTTTTGAAAGATGGCAAAATAGTAATGCACATGTAACAAACATGTTTGAATCTGCGTAGTATGAATATACGATTTCAACAAGTACGAGTTTAACTGAGATTCATTAATAACAAAGGTGAAGGAGAAATCTATTTAAGGAAATTATGTTTTCTTATTTAAATAAGGAAAGTGTGCTTGCTTATTTATTTATGGAATTTTTTTAGAAATGTCTTTTACTATGGAACGAGGAATTCTATGGGAGAGACTTTTGTATCTAAGTCAAGTGCAACTAGGAGTTCTACGCGAAGAGGGACTTCGAATTTTGAGGCGGCAGTGATGAGAAGTCCAAGTCAAGTTTGGTTTAAAGACAAGGTTGTTCGAGTTGAAGTTACGGCGAAAGCTATTTCCTACTTGATTAAGGTAATAGTTTGAGGAGAATTGGAAAATTGTGTTGAAAAGGCAATTTGTTTTCCTAAGCTAAATAAGGAAAATCATGTAAGGAATTTTCTTTCAATGTAAAGTACAAAGAGAAGACTTAATGCTGCAAGGTTTTGTTCCAGTGATAATTTTCCAACGACAAAGGGTGGAAACAAAGTCCAAAGTTGAGTTCAACAGTTCAACAAAGATTTGATGCGGCAAAGTTAAAATTGAAGAAAGAGTTAAAAATGCGCCGAAGATGAGTTCCACACAATATAGGAATCCTACGCGTGAGCTTCTAAGTTTCAGGAGAAAAAAGAAGCAGAGCACAAGTAGGATTTCTAGTTGAAATAGGTTTTGGATTCAAGTCTAAATCTATAAATACGGCGATAGTTTCGCTTGAGAAATTTGTGCACTTACATAGAGAGAAAATCAAAACATGATTAAGAGTTTTGAGATTTATTGGGAGTGTTGCATTGTGAGGAAAAATTATAAGATTGTAATTAAGAGTTTTTTATTACAATCTGAGTTTTGTGAGTAGGAGTTGTTCGACAAATTGTAGAACTTGAAGAACATTAGAAAATATAAAAACGGAGGGTTTTGTTTCTTTGGATAACTAGAAATTAGAGTTAATAATTTCTTAGCTAGGAATTAGAGTTTATAGTTCCTTAGGTTACAGAGCTTTGTAATCGTGGTATTTTTTGAAGTTTATAAATAATATAAGTGTTGTTCGAATTAATTATTGTTAAGTTTCAAACAAACAGAAACATTTGTCTATACGTGTTCCTTTGAAGAATTCAGGAGGGTATAATTTCAATACTACCAATCTAGGATAATACGATCACATTGCATTTTCCCCGTAATTCCTCCAGTTCTCATCTACAAACCCAAGCTTACCTTTCCCTTGCAGAGCTGGTTTCATCGATCTAATCCACAGGGAATAATTATTTGGTCCTGTGAATTTAACCAACGCTATCACTTATCCTGGAGAATCATAAGCTTGAAGGTAGAGAGGGTGATGATGATCAAGTGTTGATGCTTGGTTCAGTGGCATCTGTGCACCTATTGAATAGTTGTGATATATGAACTCAAAACCTATGCTCAACTGAAGGTTAGATCGCTGCTTTGATACCACGTCAATTTTGTGTTTATCACTCCACACAAACATCCACCATTGATATGGATTTATAAGCTTACAGAGGAAATAGAGAAGGAAATGAGAGAAACTGTTTTATTGGATCTGAAAATCATAAATTGCAATTACATGTGCTTTTGCACTTATAGAATTAGTTGTTAGCTATTAGTTGGACCCAGCTGGCAATGGCTGTAATTAACCAACTAATCTCTAACTAATTGATTCTCCTATAAACAGTTAATTCAATAGGCTACATAACTTAAATCTTAAATAAAATAACTTTCCCGAGAGTTCTAGAAATGCCTATTTACAAGATTCACGGTAAAAACAAAACAATAAACCAACCTATATAGCCTTGAAACATAATAAACATAACCACGATGGTTGAGTTGAGCTAAAATCATATTTTGATGATTGAACAAATAACTACAGAAAAATCAAATCATTTAAAAATATTGATTATATTTCTGAATATTACATTGCAGACATTGAATGAGCTAAATCCTTAGAGAATTAATCTTGTTGATCAGAAGTTGCTAAGTAGATTCAAAGTGCAAGAAGAATTTTGATTAGGTTTGAGTATTTAGATTTTTTATTTTAACCTATTTGCTTTCTAGAAGTATTATAATAGGTGATAACTCTCTCAAATACAAACTCACTCTATTTGATTGTGTGTTGGTTGTAACTCTCTGTATAAGTGTGCAAGGTTCTTTGCAAAAACTCTATTGTATTTATATATGTGATACATCTCGTTCTTTGAGTTAGAGTCTGTCTTTTTAAGGATTCCTTTATCTTTTAGGATTCTAAAAAGGAAACTTTATGCAACTGCATTCTTTTCATAAAATGCAACTCCTTCGCCTATAACTTCTACTTCGCGTGGTTATCCTTCTCCTAATCCCACTCTGTGTCGGTCTAATAGGAATATGTCGATGCAAATTGTTCCTTTCATATGTTGCCCTATTAGTCAATCATCAAAAAAATCTCGATTGAACAATCTTCATCAGCATGTAACATATTCCCACGAACGAAAAATAGAGTTACATGTTTAAATTATGAGACATTATGGAGTTCCAAACAGAAAATATTGATCAAGAGGAGAATCTTAGATGGAGATATTAAGAAAGAAACTTACTTAAAATTTCTACATATAAGTATTTCATTTTCTTCAATTTCACTTTGGTTCTTGTTTTAATTACAGAACTCTTTATATATATCTGAATTTGTTAATAAATTTTGATCAAAAGTATCTGAAATGAGTTGATTGTTCCAGTATGAAATTCATACCCACACTCACATCTATCCACACTCAAGTTGTATTAACAGGGATATGACATTAAAAGTGAAAAATACTAATAACTTAGATGATAATATAGGTACGGGAGTGAAAATACCTTGGGGGAATAAATACGCACGCACTATGACTGAATAATCCTTAATTATCTATTATATGACTAATGACACATGTGAAATCTTTTACGATACTTTGAAAAGCTGATCCAAAGACTTATAAACTCTAGATGTGACAGATTCTCAAAGCATTTATATGTGTTGCTGTAGAATCATAGTTGTTGCCAGATGTCTTCTTTACCTTTTTTTGAATAGTTATTTTATTATGTAGGATCATTAAATAGGAGCCTCAAAATGAGCTCACAGATGAATAATTTTTGTTTAGAATTTTATGGGGTGAGCTCAAAATAATTAATTTAAATTCGGTTCATTTTAACTTATGTAACTTTTTATTCATTTTAAAAGAATTTTCTTTTGTGCTTAATTTAATCTCAAATTTCAATCTGTTTTATAAAAATTTATTTGCATTATTATAATGTATATCCACATTTCTATTTGAACTCATTTTAATATCTCCAATTTTAATCTAGCCTCATTTTCATTTAATATTTCCAATTTTAACTCAATACATTCATTTGACAATGCTACATACGACCTTTGTGAGCATGAATTGCTTTTGGCACAAGATAACGTATTTGGTGTACAATTTTGCACATTGCATGATCAGCTTCTTCTCAATATATGTCATATAGTAAACAATCAGCTCTACACTACAATCGATCGATATTTTGGGTTATTTCGAGAAATTGCTTCCTTTTGCACAATTCAATTCCTCAAATTGAAAACAGTCATAATATATGTGTCCATTCCCATACAGGTTTGTTTTTGAACATTTTTTCAGGTACGCCTTTATATTAGAGTTAGTGCACTTTACATAGAGTAAAGGCTCTAAGAAGCTCCACTCCTTTGGCTAATTTTTCGCAGCGGATCCTAAGTTCTCTATTGCATTGATTATAATTCACGATCAAAACACCCATCATGTAAACGGTACGCCTTTATATTAGAGTTAGTGCACTTTACATAGAGGAAAGGCTCTAATAAGCTCCGCTCCTCTGGCTAATTTTTTGCATCGAATCCTAAGTTCTCTATTGCATTGATTATACTCCACAATCAAGACAATTCGCTGAATCCTGTGAAACCACTACTCCATGTTTCATCTGTTTGCTTTACATCTCTTCCTAATGACACTATGATAAAGAGCTAATATGAACAAGTGCAAGTGAATATATAGAGGGAGTATTCTTATTACATATAACTAATATGTATCATCGCAAAAGTTAATATTACAAGCCACATTTGATCTAACAAAAATAACACTTCCTAATTTGTTTTCTTCGATCCAACAGTTTCAAAAGAAAATTAATTATATTGATGATCAATAATAAAATGTACAGGAATCATAAGTAGAGTCATTGTCCATGGGTCCAATCTCATTATTATTCCCGATAGGCTGCATTGAACTTGAACCAATATCCCCAGTAGAGTCGTCATTGTTTGTGAAAGGGTACTGACCCATAGGAGGCTGCATTGTCGAACTTGAACCAATGACATGGGTAGAGCCATTGTACATGAAAGGGTACTGAAACATAGGCTGCTGCATTGTTGAACTTGAACCAATTTCGTTATTCCCCATAGGCTGCATCATTGTCGTACTTGAATCAATAATCCCATAATTATTCCCCATAGGATGCATTGCCAAACTTGAACCAATTTCATCATTTGCCAACCAGTTTTCTGACTCCATCATTGAATTCACACCAATATTTGATTGAAAAAAGTTGTTGAAAGAATTCACATGATCAGAAATAGGCCATGGAGATGTTTGGTTCATCAAGTTGTTGTAGTCCCATATTTGTTGTCGGTGAGAAAGTGAGCAACTTCCATTCATGCTCTTCAACAATTCTATTCTTCCTTTTGCATTCTCCATCCTTTTTGAGATAACACCAACAAGATTTTGTATTTCTTTTTGAGATAAATAGTCAAATCTTGAATCCCAAGTCGGATACTTTTCTACATTGATTGCATCAGCCTTTTTCTTTTCATCATTCTCGAAATAGTCAAATCTTGAATCCAGATCCTTTTCTACTTTGATCTCATCTTTGAAATAGTTGGACAATGTCTTACCCCTTTTGGTTCGTCCTTCAAATGGTTGATCTTTGTAGACATTTATTAGCTCTTTAACTTCATTTGGCCACATTTCACAATTACTATTTCCTTCATCATATATGATCATGCAGGCTTTGATGTCGCAAAGTATTGAGAGTTCTGAAATTTTCTTGACTAAGCTAGCCTTCCGTTTTACAGAAGTGTTCATCCTCTTCTTGTGATCTTGAATAAGTTCCACTTTGATTTTTGATCTTCCCATTTTGCCTGCACTTCAACAAAATACATTTACTATTACTATTACTATTACTAGTAGTAGAATAAAGAAAGCATTAGGCACACTATATATAATTGAAAAGAAAATTATGCTTTCATTCTTCTCCTTACAGTCATTCAACCAAGGTTCCTTATGGCTAGAAAAACAATATCTTGAATTTCTTGTTACCAGAAAAAACAAGACTTGAACAAGAATATATAAACATTATGAAATAAATTCGTATTTATCGACAAAAAAAGAAGAAATTAATGTATTTACCAGATAGGTGATGAATAGAATTAAGCTTCAAAATCACGAGGAGTTAATACTTTTTTGAGCTGCGTTATGTTTTCTCGGACTACTTATAATGCATAATAGGAAATACTCAATTTATAGGAAACTGGAATTACTCAATTTATAAAACCTATACTAATAGGAATTACTCAATTATTGGAAACTATACTACTATCAATTTATAGGAAACTATAATGATAGGAATTACTCAATTTATAAAACATATACTAATAGAAATTACTCAATTTATAGGAATTATTGGTACGCGTCCATTCTTCTTATATAGGAATTACTCGTTTTATAAAAATTTATTTCATTTTGTGTATGTGGTACTTGGGCCCCTTGATTTGAAAAACAAATTTTAAGTGACGTACTACTACTTCTAAAATAAACATAGAAATTTAAGAATGTGTGTAAAATTATCTAAAGTTCCTCAACCCTTATACTACGTGACTAAATCATAATTAATAAATAAGGTATTAGAACAACATAAGTTGTTGAATTAACAATTCACATATTTTTATGTTTATAAGTAAATACTTACCTATGGACAATTTCAGGAGACTCAGTCTTGCTTTCATCGTTGTAGTATTGCTTTTATAGTTTCTTGTCCTTCAATTTTTGTTATTATACGTTGATTCCTAGTACATTTATTCTTACGTTACGTTCATGTTTTCAGCATTGCTAATATTTGTTCAAATTAGTTTGATGGTTCCTTGTTTCGTATAGAGTTTGTACATCAAGCTTATTAGGCTCACCTATTAAGCTTGATGTACAAACTCTACCACAAGTAATTTCACCCTTGTGAGAAAATAAAGCGATGTCTGCTCATTTCACATTTATTGTTAATGTTATTCTAAAATTGATTCAGTCTTGGATCATCCTCCATGTATTACTACCTTTTTAGTGATGCTACTGTTATTCTTAGTTTACACTCACTTCTGCTTTTATGTGAAAAGTGGTGATTCTCTTTTTATATGGTACATGCACTAACAGTACACTAACTAGGTCTTCTTTGGAAGTTAAATTTAAAGTTTATGGTATAGAAAAAAAATTATATGTATTATATTTAAGAAAGTTTGAGTAAAAGCATTTCGGATGAGTCTGTAATATCACCAAATGATGCAGTTGGCGAAGTGTTAGGAAAAGAGCACTCAGGCGAGGTAAGGTGTTTGGGGTTTGGAATTGTCCCCACTTGAGTTTTTATACAAACAAGACCTAGATTCAGTGGTATGAATACTTCAAGTGTTTCATGTCGTTCATCCAATTGGCGAATTACAACAAATTATTGAATCAAAGTCAAACAGATTACAAATAAAATGGTGAATAATCACAATCAAATGATGGTTGCCTTTAAGTCATATATGATAATGAAAGAAGGAAAACTATCAAAAAAATTTGTGGGGTTATTTGTTGCTCCTCCTACAATGGTACATATAACTTTTACATTCTCTCTTCCTGAAACCTTGTTTGTATATTAGTCGTACTAGTTTAGTTGAAGTCATTTCCTTTGCATCCACAATCTGTCAATGTCTGTTTCATTAGAACTAAGTGAACAATTCTTAAAATTCAATATTCCTCAATATATATCAGCTAGTTAAGTTAGTTGGTGGCTATCTCGACTGCAATAGATTGACAGCTGCATGTATGTGGAAAAGAAGATGACTGCAATAGATTGATAGTCAACTAAATATAATTTTTGATTATGATGTAATTTATTGTGAATCTAATTTAACTGGCTGGTAGTACTTAGAATTCATCAAGTATGCTATATTCATCCATATTTTGATTTGAATGAAGTTATTTATTGTGTATTTTTCTTTGCAGCCAGGTGATGCTAGTGATGGTAATGAAACCCACTGAAGTTTCATGAACTGTTGCAGATCCTTTATTAAGTTTGGATGATAGTGATTTGAAGTTCAAGCAAGATTAAGCAAGTTTTTATAGTGATCTATTATGCAAGTTTTTATAGTGAATTGAAGTTCAAGTAAAGATTGAAGTTTTTTGTAATCATAATGATTGAAGTAACTGACATGTTTCAATTTAGATTGTAAATCTAATAGTACGCTTTATGATATATTTTTGTGTTGAAATATTGTGTTACTTCTTATACTAATATGTCCCTTTATGTTTGATTATGATGTACATGTTAATTAATTAATTATTTATAATTAACATTGAATATTTCTAGCAGAATTCTATAAAAAGATATATTTCATAAATTGCACGATTTAAGACTCTTACTTTTTAATGTAAAGTTCATGAATTGTGGGGGATTTTGATTCCTAGAATTTACAAATTGTTGGGTTTTGAATCCTAGAATTTGAAGTGCAGTTTTATTGATATCAATTTGTGGGATTCAAAACCCCACTAGTAAACCCCTGCTAATGGCACCGAAAATCAGAGAAAAACCTTCTTCACTTAATTAATTGTGACACAGCTAATTGTAGGGATTTTTCCAACTGTCGTAATACTTCGTTGCGGGGTTTATTGATCCCCGCAATATGAAATTTCAATCTCTGCATTTTAAGTTGTTTTTTATAGTGTACAAATCTCAGAAAATCGTATATTATATCATGTAAAAATTATTGATACAAATACAACTTACGATAAACACTTAAAACATGTATTAACAACAAAAACAAATTGAACTCATCATCTTTGTTGAACCATCAAACTTTTGTTCCTCATATTTTCTGCTTCAAATTTCTTGCAACTTAATTTAATCATTTCAGTACTTGAATCCAAACTCTTCAATGGATCTAATTTCTTCTTTTTGTCTAGATTACTAACGGATCTTGCAATATCTTAGAATGTTTAAGTCTTCAACAAATTTGACACACAATAGTATACATCTAGTAATCCAAAATCCTTCATCCATTTTTTTTTTCTGAAAACTCTTAAATTTTGAAGATTGGAGAAAATTTTTTGAGGAAAAAGAAAAAGACAAGCATAAATCATATATAAATGAAAAAATAAAAAAAAGAGTTGAAACACATTTGGGCGATTCCCTTGAATTGTGATGCCATGATTAGGAAGGATAAAGTAGATTTCGAAATTCAAAATTAATGTGTATGAGTAATTTTAGGAGAGAACTAGAGAATGGAGAGAAGACGGATAAAATTGAGTTTGTATAAATGAGTATTGTTATAAAATCAAGCTCATAAGAATACAATCATAAAGAGAAGAAGACAAGAGAAGTAGATAGAAGAAGATGAATTTTCTTCATATTCAAGTGTATACAATGGTGAATGATATCTCTATTTATAGTCTTAAGATATCATAGTCAAAGGTCACCTTGGAACTATACATAGTTATCATCAAGGTTCATATCACCTTGGAATCTTATCACATTGGAAACACTAATACATGAATCCAATTAATTGTTGGATAACTCTAATGGATCATCCACATAACACAATAGATTTATAACACTCCCCCTTGGATGTACATAGATAATGTGCCTCGTTAAAACCTTGCTAGGAAAAACCCCGTGGGAAAAAATTCTAGTGAAGGAAAAGAGTACACATATCTTTTGATACGCACTATTTGTTGCCTCATTAAAAACCTTGCCAGGAAAACCTAGTGGGAAAAAACCTCGGTTAAGGGAAAAAGAGTACAACGCGTATTATACTCCCCCTGATTAAAACATCACTTAACTTCTTGTGATGATGTATCCAATCTTCGTACATTGTGATTGGTATATTCTTTTTCAAAAAAAAATCACACATTTATTGAATATGGTGTGTCATTTATCTCAAGCAGACACACTTTCGACTTGCTTTATGGAGGACTTGCTTCATTGATCGCCAGGATATTGTTGTGCCTCCACATGCAAACAAATAGCGTGCTTGAGATAGAGCTTTATGCGGATCAGATAAATATTCTGCTCATGCGTAACCAATCAATTTTGTCTTGAATTCCTCTGAATAGAATAAACCCATAACTATGGTCCTTCGAGGATATTTAATCATGTGCTCAACACCATTTCAATGTCCTTTAATCGGGGAGAAACTGAATTTTGGCAGTAAATTTACTGCAAAACAAATATCTAGTCAAATATTGTTAGTAAGATGCACTAGTGCCCTGATTGCACCACGATAGAGTTTCATCACCAAGAAACTCGTCATCCTTCTTTTGAGATCAAACTGAATCATCATTTATGTCAAGTGATCTCATAATTATTGGGGTACTCAATGAATGCGCTTTATCCATATAAAATTGCATCAAAACTTTTCAGTGTATGTGCACTATTAGACAAATATTTCATTTGTCAAATTATCAATCTGTAGGTCAAGACAAAATTTTGTCTTACCAAAACCTTTTCATAAAAATACAAGGACAATTAGGGTCATTCTTTTATACCTTTTTTCTTCCTTGACTATTTCAATCCATATAAGGATTCTTGAAGCTTTATTGAAAAAGTTTCTTTTGAACTCTTATATGCTTCAGACACCTCAATTGTTTCAAGAATTTTCATATAACCTTCATTGTCTAGCTAGACATTACAATTATTCATTTCATGCAATCAAGTTTTTCATATGTCGCCAGATCAAAACAAACTTCATTGTATCCACCAAAGGAGAAAACATCTCCAATAATGTCAGGATTTTTGCGATAAACCTTTATGCCCCAAGGCACAAACCGTATTTGATATCTTACGGTTATACTATTGCATAATAATTTATTTGTACCCCACTGACATTA